TAATTTATATTGATTAGTTTATTATTGATTAGAGAATTGTTATATAATATTAAAACATTGATTTCAATAATTATAAATTTAAATACTCACTCACTGTAATATAATTTATATTTATTAGTTTATTATTGATTAGAGAATATTAAAACATTGATTTCAATAATTAAAAATTAAATACTCACAAACTGTAATATAATTTATATTGATTAGTTTATTATTGATTAGAGAATTGTTATATAGTATCAAAACATTGATTTCAATAATTATAAAATCAAATAATCACCGACTTAATATTATTAGAAATGTATGTAATTTATTATTAGCAATTATGATTTAAAATAAAGTTTAATATAACAATATGCCTACTCTTCTGAATCTTTCAATTCTTCCAATTCTTCTGTTTCTTCCACTTCTTCCATTTCTTCCGTTTTTCTTATTTCTTTCATTTCTCCGATTTCTTTATTTTCTTCCATTCCTTCTATTTAAAATCTTTAAAATCTAAAAAATATTTCTAACAGAATTACCGGATTAAATAAATTCCATTTTGTACAACAATAATGAAATGAATATTGATTCGCTTTCATCACTATCAAATAAATTATTTTATTTAATATTTGATGTTGTGGTGACGACGAAAGATTGGTAAGATGGCAGTGCAGAAAACATGTGGTGTAGGAACACAAATGATGGAAATGATGGAGTTGTACAATGATGGAAATGATGGAGAAGTACGAATGATGGGAATGATGGAGGAGAAAGAAATATAAAAGTAGCGGTAGCAAGAGGGAGAAAAGAGGGTTCCTTTTGAACGGCATATTTTTTTAAGATAGCAACATTTGATATTTTATCTTTTTGTTTTATTTTATCTTATTCTATTTTATTAAGTAATTATAACAACGTTTATAATAATAATCATGTAAATAGTAGAAGTAGTAACAGAATAGAAACACGCCATTGTAATATTTTGTTGCCTAACTTCTAATAAAACTTTCTTTTGGTTGTCTAATTATAAATAAACATTTCATCACTTATAAGTCTGTTCTAGCATCGATAGTATACATAGGGAAAACTACCTCTACTTCACTTGCTCACGTACCTCCCAGATAATACTTACGATTTTGTAGTTGTTGTTTAAAGTTGTCACACTGTATAGCGATACACGAAGAAGTGTAAGCTATTATTGTGACTGGGAACTTGTGTGCTGTCCAGACGTGACAATGTGATATATAAATAAATTTGTAATTTTTTTTAATTATTCATTAATAATAATATTATTAAATTAGTTATTTATTATTTATAAAGAAACTGTATTAATGCTTGGTATTTACTGTATTATGGATTTGGATTCTACAATTATTTGAATTATTGATTAGTTTATAATTGATTAGAGAATTGTTACATTGAAACATTGATATGAATTGCGGACCGTATTATAATTTATATTGATTAGAAATGTAATTTAACATATGCAACAATAAATTATGATTTTAAAACAAAGTTTGATGTAACAATATGCTTACTCATTCAATTTATTCGTTTCTTTCATTTCTTTCATTTCGATTTCTTTAATTTCTTTAATTTCCAATTTTTTAAAAAATCTATTTATCACTATAAATTCCGTTTTTACACAATCGTATTTAACCAATTTTTAAAATAAATTAATTCGTGAAGTTATATAGTAAAAACGCATATATGTATGCTATAATCTCAAGCCAGAACGAGAAAATTACAAAGTCATTTTATCGATTATTTTAAAAAACAAAGATTCTGATTATATATATATTTTAGGACTAAATGGTTACATTTAATTTTTTTTTCAATTGTTTTTAAAAATTTTATTTTGCCCCGAAATTTATATTTATCCGATGTGTGGATAGATTATCATTTTTTATATACCTATTAGTTACATCTGTAAGTTTCAAAATATGAAAAAAGTAAAGAAATTTTCATAACAATAATCCAAATTCTTTCTTTGAAGTCAACGAACAACTGAGATATTTGAATTCAAAATTACCAATGCAAAAAAAAAAGTCTTGAAGTCGCTGAACCATAAAAATATCTGAAAAATTTATCTTTTTTGAAGTCAACTCACCAACGAAAAATTAAAGCATATATCTTTCTGATTTTAAATTCTCAAATGGATCTTAACTAATAAAAACGCGTCATATGGGTTGGGTTGATTTGGTTCCATTCAATTTTTTCACATAAAATTGAAAACGATTAAGTAATGTTAAACATAAACTGCTGTCAAATCGATTGTGATCAATCAAATATTATCATCATCATCATCCAAATTAGATTGTTGTTCTGTTTCTTCTTTTGTTGTCATATTTTTATTCCTTGCTAAAACTTTTCCTTTTTGAACCTCAAGATACCGTGCAACTCTTTCGTCTTTAGATGAATCCTCTAGCATTAATGCCAAACTGGCGGCAGCCTTTAATGCAGACGGATCGCCACGGCGAGATAAAGCATTTAGTGCATGATAAATTGAATTATCTCTGTGAGAGGCAAGATGACTGAACAATAAAAACAATTGATTGAATAATAATAAAAAAAAAAAATTCATTACATTAAATTAGCATAAACAAAAAAATTAATTTTTAAACGTACCACATGGCAGCTTGTTCGTAAACTTCTTCTTTCTCAAGCTGATTGGCCCAAGAAACGTATAATTCTGATAACACCGGATCATTTGAAACAAGTCGTAATTTGGCAAGCGCAATTGCCTCACTATATATGTTATGTTTAAAAGAATTAATCGTTGTTAAATTATTATAAATAATTATCTTCAATAATTTTTGAGATATTTACATACCGATACATTTCAGCTTTACGATAAATTTCAATAGCTTGATATACTTCACCGCACGCTAACCAACATAGAACAGCCGCATGACGATCATTTTTGGCAGCAAGTTTTTCAGCCTGCAAACGCATTAAAGATTGCCACACGTCTCTCCCAGCTAAAAAAAATGGTTTAAAATATGAATATACATATTGAAATAAACCGTGCTTACATAATCAATAGAGGTTAACAGTCATACCTAAAGGACTAAGCGCAAGTATCATCCAATCTTGATTGGAAACCCCTTCATTATTTTCATTACGTTTGACCAATCCTGAAAAATCATTAGACCATAATTCCAATAAAAGACCTGGATTTACTTCTAAACCTCCTAAACTAAAAGAAGATTCCGAGGAATTATGTGAAGTCACTTAAAAAAAAAACAAAAAAAAAAGTAAAAGAGTTAACTACCATTATATCGATGATAACGAAAAATAAATGAAATTTTAAAATTACCTTCTTTTTCAATAGTTTTTCTCGACTTTTTCCCTTCATCAAAGAACAAGTCTACAAATAGAGAATCTGGGAGATCATGATCATCATTCTCCCCAGTCTTCTGAATTTTTTCCTCATCATTCTCCCAAAAATCCAAGGCCTTTCCCAAATCCCCACCGTATAATCTTTTTGCAAGTTTAAAAGTGTAATGTTGAAGATTTTTACGTCGAATAGTAGTTGAGGTCAATGGTAATATATTCTTTAACTTTTTGCTCTTTTTTTGAGCTGCTTTGCGAGTAGGTTGGGTGGATTGAATAAGTTGAGTAGGTTCAGTGGGAGTGATTATTTTTGTATTCGCAGTTTCTAGTTGATTTGGTAATTTGGATATATCAACCATCACAGATGATTCTTGTTCTTGTTCTTGTATAATTTTAACGTGGTAAGAATCATTTATTAAATCTATTTTTGACTTCGTTGCCGAATCTGATTCCTTTGATTCCTTTGAAACTATATAAATATTATATAAATATTATATTTAGTTTAAATCCATAAATAATAGTTTTTGTATAATAATAAATAATAATAATAAATAAAACCTAAAGATGAATCAAATGGATTTTCGGATAATCTCCAACCGAAACAATTTAAATCATCACCACCTGTGAAAATCAAATCCTCATCGTCCAAACTCCACACACTAGATAAAATTCGTCCGTTATGGCCACGAAATATAGATATAGGAATACCTTTTTGTAAATCCCATACCTTAAATAAACATAAAAATAACATAAATAACATAAATAGTATAAAAATGACATCGCAATTAAAAAATAAATAAATAGATTATTTACAATAGCCATTCCATCTAAAGACGTTGAAACCAACTTTTTATTATCTACGGGACACCATGACAAGTCTGTTATTCCCTTTTTATGTATTCCGAAGACTTGTTTGCAGGACGATGTCGGAACAGAGACTAGAATGCAAAACAAAAATATCTCAAAATTTTTTTTTTTTTAGATCTATTATTTGTAATTTCTTTAATTGACTTACTGGTTGATGACAAATTTTCTAAATTAGAAAAATCATGAATCATGATAGTATGATCATCCGAACCTGAAGCAAATAAAAGAGCTTCTCCGTTTTCATCTAATAATAAAAAAAAATGAATATAGTAAAAGAAAAATAATATAAAATAAAATAAAAAAAGGTGAAAATGTTGAAGATGCGAACCTAGAGAACACCATTTTAACTTATTTATAGTGGCTCGGTGACCAATGTTATGATAGATTATCTTGAAAGAAGGTAAGTCATATACTTCAATACTTCCATCAGTGTTACCAACTGCTAAAAATCTACCATTAGGATTAATTGCAACCTCACTTCTCTTTGATGAATAATTGTTTTTATCCTACGAATATTTCTTTTTGAATTTAGAATTAAATGGGTCATCAAAAAAAAAAAAAAGACATATAATTAAAAGATATAAATTTACCTTCACTATATTAATCCATTCAGGATTAGCTTCTCTTATCATATTATTAACACATGATGATCGTTTCGGCTTTGTAATATCATTTAAAAGCAAATTACCATCCCCTCCACAACTTAAAATTAAATTGAATTCATCTGATTTTTCATTATCCAAAGTTTTACCCAACCATTCTGATTTACACCATTCAATAGCATAAACCTTATTTTTATGATAAGAATCAAATGTTTTTGATTTATCATTATAAATTTCATACCACCCAATATTTCCTAAATCTGTACCGAAAGCTAATGACCCTTCATGAGAAGGATGAAATTTAATCTAAATAAATAAATAAATAAATAAATTATTAAATTTATTATAATTACATTTAAATAAATAAATAAATACTTACACAAGTAATTTTGTTTTTTATTCCCTTCCAATAAGATACACAACTAAAAGGATTAAGTATATTGGCAATATCCCAAATTCTGATATTATTATCACTACATGCAATAGCTAACCTATGAGGATCCGCAACTGAAATATCAATATCATTAATTTGTTTAGGAATACAAGTTATTGAAAAAATAGGTTTTCTTTGTGTAATATCCCACAGAATCAACTAGATAAATTAGTTAAAGAATTAATTAATATTGCATAATATTGAATGAGATACCAAAAAAAAAAAAAAAAAAAAAAAAAAAAAAACTTGAAATCAAAGACAATAAAGACATTACTTTTTGATCCATTGAAGAAGTTATTGCTTTAGTACCACAAGGATAAACTACAATTGTGTAAACACTACGAGTGTGACCATTCCCAAATTTTTGATACCTTGGAGTTGAAATATCTGAATCCCATAAAAGCAAATCACCCCTTTAGAATTTGAATTTGAATTTTATACTTGAAGTTAGTTTCGATTTTTCAATTCTATAATTTTTAGAAAAAAATTCAATTAAAGAAAAAATAAAAATAGAACCAACATGTATGTGCTTACAAGCACTCTGTTGCTTTCAGGAATCCATGCAGTAGCAACAAATAATCTAGATTTCTGTTGTTCAGTAAGGTAATGCATAGGATGTGGTAAAGAGATTATTCTTTCCAAATTCTCTTCTTCTACATTCCATATACACGCAGTTTTGTCTCGTGAACCAGAAACGAGGAATGTATATTTGGTTAACGGTTGATCTAGTTGATCTAGATGATAAACACGCACGTAAAGATATTCAATAATCTATATAGTATAGTAATAACTATTATTATTATTATTATTATTATTATAACTATTATATTCTATTCTATATTCACGTTTAGGTATTTCCCATGATAAACTTTGAATTTCAATATCGTGCCCTTTCAAACGACGAACTATCTTTCCATTCAAATCTTGATCAATGTTAATGATTATTATTGCACCATTTTGAAACCTATATATAAAAAATTTAATTGAATTAAAAAATATCGAAATATTTTTTATATATTTTTGACAGCGAAAAATTCGTAATTTGTTAACTTACCCTATTGCAAATGAATTCTCAATAGTAGGTGATGCAGCAATATCGTAAATAGGGGATTGAATGAAATAGTATTTATTTGATTTATTTTTGGATGGGTTCCACGCGGATAAATCTCCAGATTTATCTCCTTTAAAAAATTAACGGACAGAATAAGTAATTGATGCAATTGATGCAATTGATAATACAATCGATGCAATTGATAATACAATCGATGCAATTTGTAATTGATGCAGCAGTTAATATAATTGACACGTAAAAATCAAATGACATGTATACCTGATACAATGAATTTATAATTATTGGACCACGCTAAAGCATAAATCTCGCTCTGAAAATAATTGAATTAATATATAAATTTTTAAATATAAATTCAAACAAAAATTTTAGATATCCTTCTACCTTATGATTCGTTGAGATATAAACTTGCTTTTTATCAACTATATCCCAACACCTTATAGTCATATCAGCACTTCCTGAAGCACAAAGGTTGTCACAAAAGGTTAATGAATTCACTCGAGCAGTATGTCCAACAAGAGTTCCTTTAAATTGTAAAGTTTCGGCATTGAAAAGTATGACATTATTCGAGGAAGCATAAGCGAATATATTATTATTTATAGATAATGCCGAGGCTTTAGGTGAATTCCAGTTAGGGGCGGGAGGCAAATATTTACAAACTTTCATGTTTGTACTAATTGTACTAATTGTATTATTTTTACCTTATTTTACCCTAAACCTTAAACCCCCTAAACCCCCCCTAAATATAACTTTACAGTTCACCTGACCTATAATAATAATATTTGACTTTTTCCGTAATATGACTTCAAGTCAAGACACCAAAAATTTAGACGTAAATAATTCCAATGATTCCCTTCAAAGACATGAACATCAGTTGGGAGGACATGATAAATTATTGTCTTTAGATAATTTTATTTTAGTTAAACCTTGTAATAAATTTGAAAAGGATTTTTATGAATCTAGTGTAATACACCCAAAATTCGCAAAGTGGATGCCTAAATATTTTGGATGTTTAACATTGCAAGGTCATAATTCTACACTTTCTGACCAAACAATAGATGTTAATATCATCAGAAGAGGTATTGAGGAACAGAACGCAAATATTACTGGAGTAGAAGATATCCTTTAAATTCATTGAATTCATTTTTTTTTTATTTTTTTTATTTCCATTTAAAAATTTTATCTTTTGACCTATAAATTAAATAAACACAGGCTGTTTGTATAGAAAATTGTTTGTATAAATTCAAAAAACCATGTTTCTTGGATTTAAAATTAGGTAAACGACTTTATGGAGAAGATGCTGACGAAGCAAAAAAGCAAAAAATGATTAGAAAAGCGAAAAATACCACAGCAGATTCATTCGCTTTTAAATTAACAGCATTTAAAGTAATTATTATTTATATTATTATTTTTATTATTATCATTTATGTTATTATCATTTATATCATTATTTAATTATTATTATTTATATTATTATTTAATTATTATTATTATTATTATTATTTATATTCTTATATTCTTACATTTTAAAGGTATTTAAAAAATCAACCGATAGTTATGTCAATTATAGTAGAGATTATTGTAATAAACTCAATTCTGATAATTTAGCTTCAAGTTTCTTTCATTTCTTTGAAGCAGACATATCAGAGAAACTACGTCAAACTATTATTAAACGTTTTATAGAAGATATAGAATCTCTGATAGAAGTAATGAATAATGAAGAAATGAGACTTTATGGAGCTTCTTTATTTGTTGTGTATGAAGGAGATCCAGATACTCTTTTGGATTCCATAAATAAAGAAAAAGAAAAAAAGAGGAATATTGATAAAGAAGAGAATGAAGACATCGAATCAGATGAAGATTATGATGAGGAGGAGGAAGATGATGAGGAGGAAGATGAGAAAAAAGAATTAAAATCATATGATCTAAAAGTTATAGATTTTGCACATTCTTTTTTTCGAGAAAATATGGGAAAAGATGAAAACACTTTACTCGGTTTAAATAATGTATTGAAAATATTGAAAAATTTTGTTAAATGATTTATTATGTTGCATGATTTTTCGGGTAAATCATAAAATCATACGGATTAACAGGATCGACTGTTTCAAGAAAAACCGTTTTTATAAAAATCAACAGTTAATCTAGTTAATCTAGTTAATCTAGTTAATCTGTCAATCTTACAGATTGTCGAATTGGGTAATAATTATTATGGTTTACCAAAGAAAGAAATAAGGGGAATTAAAAATTTCTGTCATACGATGATTTAATGTATTGTATTTTGTAACCTGTCAAAAAAAAATTTTATATATAATTAACTTTTTTACTTTATTCTTTTTTTATTATTATTGAAATTAATATCTTTATCTTATTATCCTATTATATTATTCAATTATTATATATCCTTCAATTATATTACCTTGTAAATTAATGAACAAAGGAAAAGTACGTTCTTTATCAGACTACAAACTATAACAATAATAATAATAAATAACCCCTTCGCTTTTAAGAAAGTGAGAAAGTGTGTTAAAAAATATTTAAAAAAATATTAATTAAAAAAATAATTTAAATCAAATTGAATGGCCACTTTGGACACTGTTCGTACATTTTCTCCAACGTTTCTTGGTTTAGCAACACAACTTGGAATATCTGCTGGAGTTTCAATATATTGTTTATTACAATTCGAATGGAATCGACGTCTAAAGTCTATGCAATATTTATATATCCCACGAACGAAACTTCCTATGTAAGTAATAAATTAATAAATTGACTTTTAGGAAGTTTGTTACTTTAAATAAATAAACATTAAATAAATAAACATTAAATAAATATTAAAATTATTTTAATAGAAATCCCTCACCTCCAATACCTCCTGGACTTTTTTCTTGGATTAAAGCCACTATTTTTCTACCTGACGAATTTTATTTAAAAAATGTTGGATTGGATGCCACAATTTATATTCGGTTTCTATGGATGGCATTTCAATTTCTAGTATTTAATACAATAATAGTTGGGTCTATCCTTTTACCAATAAATTATTATGGTGGTGGAAATGAGACAGGTGTCACAATATTTTCTATGAATAATATTCCTATTGAAGTTACTGAACCATTATGGGCTCATGCCATATGTACTTATTTTGTAAGCATAAGTTGGATGTATCTTTTATATAAAAATTATTATGATTATATGAAAATGTTTGAACAACATCTTTTAAATAGAGTAGTTAATGATCCTATTACCGCTCGAACTGTGATGATTTCAAGAATTCCTCATAATTTAAGATCAGAAGAAAAACTTCAGAAATTTGTAGAAAATTTGAGTTTGGGACCTGTTGAATCCGCAAGAATGGTACGACATACCGGGAAGTTAGATAGAAAAATTGATAGACGAGAGAAAGTTTTACTAGAATTAGAAAAAGCTCATATACGACTAGCAAAAAATGTTTGTAATGCTATTGATAAACGCAAGTTTGGTTCCAAATTTTTTGCCAAATTATTTGGTCATAAAAATGATTCCTTTGTAATTCTCGAGTCAGGTGAGACCAGTGAACATCAACGGATTCAAACACTTATAGAATGGTTGGATCCACGTAAAAAAAGGAGGACTGATAATAGTAATAATGATAATAATAATAATAATAATAATAATAATAATAATAATGATAATAATATTAATGATGATGATGATAATAATAATAATAATAATAATAATACTCATCAAAATCGTCCCAATCATATCACCGATTTTTCAATAATAAGCATAGTAAGTTGTACTTTCCCTGGTGATGATACTATAGAACAAGAAGATAGTTATGGACGAAAATTTATCATATGGAATTCCCTTAGTCAAATATCAAAAAAAATAATTGACAAATATCAACCAACTCATAGGGTTAAATTTACGAAAAGTGTTCGTTCAATTGATCATTTTCTTAAAAAATTTAATTATCTGGATCGTCGCATTGCTGAATTAAGATCCATGCCAATAACTGAGGCACCATATAAAGCAACGAGTACCGGTTTTGTTACATTTCGTGATCATATTAGCGCTCAGTTATGTGCTCAAAGCATAATGTGTTCCGAGCCTCATACTTGTACAACGAATATGGCACCAGAGCCAAGAGATTTACTTTGGGACAATCTGACTATGAGATTTAAAGAAAAAGTGATTCGTAAGATTATTGTAAATGCATGTGTATGGTAAGTTAATAAAAAGAATATTTATTATAATAATAATATTTCTTTTGTTGTTATTTTTAACATTAAATCTTTCACGTTTGTAATGTTTGTAATGAATTAGGGGTTTAACAATATTTTGGCTTTTCCCGATTATTTCCATTCTTACTTTGACATCTATTGATTCACTTTCTAAGGGTTTGAAATTCCTGGGCCCTCTGTTGACAACTTCTCCGTTACTATTAACCTTACTTCAAAATGTATTGCCAACAGTGTTGGTTTCGACTTGTATGGCGATTTTACCTTGGATATTAATGGGTTAGCATTTATTTATTTATTAATTCTTTATTTATTTATTCATTCATTCATTTATTTATTCATTTATTTATTAATTAATTTATTCATTTATTTATTTATTTACTTATTCCATTTTTTACTTCAAATTGTTTTCTCAACATTCTTTTGTGATAATCCTACATTCTTTTTTAACTTTCAATAGAACTTTCAAAGCAAGAAAGCTTTTCATCTTATTCAGGATTAGAGGAAGCTGTTCTTGTGCGATACTATCACTTTTCATTCTTTAACGTTTTTATTGTGTTCTTATTTGGTATTACTTTTTTGCAAGCCATTTTCGATGTAATCAATAAACCAACAAGTATTCTTGATGTTTTGGCTACCAGTTTACCTCGGGTAATTTTAGAAATCAATTAATTTGTTAATTTTTTTTTTGTTATATTATTAATAGTAAAATTGTAAATTAATGAAAACAAATATTTTTAAAATATTCCAGGGTGCGACCTTTTTTATTAACTATGTCATTTTCAATATAATTACGCATGGGCTTGAACTTGTTCAAGTTGGATCCCAACTATTCTTTCATATTGCCCTTACTTCAAGATTTATAGCAACCACTCCACGAATGTTACAACGAATTACACATCCATGGTCTTTCCAATTTTATTATTATTATCCTATGCACATTTTGGTCTTCGTTATTACACTTACATATTCCACAATCAATCCATTGATCTTGGTTTTTTCTCTCGTTTATTATTCCATTGCACTTGTTGTATTTAAACATCAATTTGCTTATTGTTACGTGCGTCGGTATGAAGCTGGTGGAAAATTTTATCACCGAGTCTTCGGATACACTACTGATGGTTTGATCGTCTTTCAATTAACTATTCTTGGGATGATCTGGTTACGTAAAGCCGTCTTCTCGGGAGCCACTCTTATTCCACTTTTAGCAGGAACCATTTATTTTAAATATTATTGTCACAAGACGTTTCATTCTAGAACACATTTCTTGGCTTTAGATTCACGTGATAAAATTCCTAATGCAGGACAAGATGATCAAGAAGATAATCAGGAACAAGTTGGTAAAGTTGGTAAAGTAGAAAAGATTAATACAGATAATTCTGAATCATCGGGGAAAGCCATGAAATCTGATAAGAAATTTAATGATGTACATGAAGAAACTAATAGTAGTAACGGAATTAAAGAAACTGTAATTGAAAACAGATTTGAGGGCAAGATAACGGATGATAAATTCTATAAATTGGGAAGTGATAATGAAATTAATATGGAAAATAATTTGAAGAAAAATTATTCTTATTATTCCGAAAATACAGAAAAAATTGGTAATTCAGAAGAAAGTTTAACTGTTTTTGGGAGATCAGATAAGAAACAATTAATTAATATTGGAGAAATTAATGAAAATACTCAAAGTTCAATTGATATTACCCAAACAAATACTTTAGATGAAAAGAAAGAAAGTGATATTGCAAATAAATCATCATTTAATAATGATGGCAAAAAGTTAAAAATTGAAATTGATACAAATATTCCTTTAGTTTTAACTCCGGACAGACTTTCTATTCAAGATACTGGTGCTCGACGTTTGACTTCACGTGGAAACCTTCAGGGATGTATTATACATCCGGCACACTTTATACATGATCCTAATCGTAAAATAGTTCAAGATAATGTCTCTCCTTATCAGACTTACACACATCCTAATCTCGTGAAATCTTTAAATCGTAAACTTTGGTTACCTCGTGATCCTCTTAAAAAAATAAATGTTGATGGTACCGTTGAACTTGATCGAGCATTAACTTCAAGTGAAGGAGGTTCAGGAATTGTTGGATATTGGGGTGGGGTATCTTCATATTTAGGTGAAGCGAGAGTTAGTATGCATGGTGCACATGAATTTCCTATTTCACCATTTCATCAACGTTATGGAACAAATCATAAAAGAAAACCAACTTCTGAAACAGGACCTGCTGAACAATGTGATGAAGAAGAAATTTCACCTTATGACTGTGGACTACTGTCACCAGAGGAAGAGGGAATAGTGACTTTAAATGGATTTAACAGTGGAGAGTTGAAATCGGGTGAATTGACTAGCGGGGAGGAATTCTGATTTATTTATAATTTATGAACTTTATTTGGTTATTCATTTTTTTTTTTTAGTTGTAATTTTAACTTCATATGAGCATATATTATAGAAAGAAATATTTTGTAATATAATTAATATAATTTGAGAATCATTTAGACCTTTAATGTAATATAATTTGAGGTAAAAAAAAAAAAAGATTTAAAAATAAAAATTTATCAAATACTTTATTAGTTATTTTAAGCTCCTATTTTTTTTATTGTTTCTCAGTAACATAACAGATAACATCCATTATAAATAATAAAATAAAATGACTTTTAAATATAAATGTTACACAATAATTTTAATCTATAATATAGATTCTATATCACTTTAGGCTAATTAAGATACTTAACTAATAAGATACTTATAAAATATGATTAATTATGTAATGATCTATAAAGATAACTTTATTGATATTTAATCCAGAAACGGAAAGGATTACAATGAATTTCGAGCAACTTTTTTTATTAAATCGATAAAATAACTCTTATAATATTGTTCCGATTTGAGATTATAGTATATATGTATTTATTCTACATAAGTTATTCCCATATTTTATATATGTAAACCTTTCCTTTTTTACGCGAATCACGAATTAATAATTTAATATTTATACATCCAAAAGACTTCTCAATATTTAGATGCATGTTGTTTTATTTTCTTTTGCCATCCAATTTTACTTACACCTAGTTTTTCAAATTCGTGCCCACTCAAATCCTTAATTAAATCAACTGTTATTTCTTCATTTACAAAGGCTTGTTCAAATCGAATATAAGTACCTGAAGTATTAAGTTGTTTATCTAAATCTTTTAAAAATTCACGAATGGTAGGTATTTTTTTTTTAAATACTTGAGGTATTTTTTTGTTAAATACTTGTTCATAATTAGGAGGACTAATTTCTTTTATTACAATGAAAATTGTTAATTAGACAAATTCCATTTGTTTCACGTTTTAATAAACAATAAATATAATTTATGTCATATACTTTACATACCAGGTCTCGAAACAAATGGACTATGATTCGTTGATAATTGTTGATAATCTTCCAACATAATTTTTTTTTTTTTGATTTTATTGACAATAAAAGATTGTTAATTAGGTAAAATCTCATCTGTTTCACGTTTTAATAAGCAATAAATATATTCATGTTATTTATTGAAATATATTATGCTTACCAAGTCTATTTGGAATTTGATTTGTTTGTCCGACGGAGACATCCATTCTTGCATTTGCCCTGAAACAAAAAGGGATTTTAAAAAACAGAAAATTTCAACTTCAACTAGATATTTAATGATACATACCCATCTGTAATGCTTCCACAGACATTATAAATGGATCCAGAAACTTTAATACAATTGCCAGGATATTCTCTCCTGTTTTCTGAATGTAATTCCTTGTAACGAGAATAGTGATTATTCTTGGTTACTGGTTTATCACTTATGTTGATAGTCATTGAATTTCTCCCTTTTTTTAAGTAGGATTTGATCTATTTTTTAATTAAATAAATTAGATATCAACATCGCCTAACTTTGAAATAAACACATGTCCAATGATACTTACAGCCCATGTGATTATAATGTATTTATCTCCATCATATGGTCTATAATCATATTGCACTTCATATGATAAAATGCCTCGTGAAACGCATTTGTCTGTAATGGTTCTATTTAAAAAAGAAAATTAAGGAAGAATATTTCAAAAATTGGTTGTCTACAGGTTCTTACCTGGTTTGAGATTCTTGAAAATTGATGCTATATTCTGATAGATCCAAATTTTTACTACCACTAACATACTTTCTCCCTGAGAAGTATTGAGGGTTGTAAAGTATAATATTGGGATGATCGTTTTTAATTTGGGTTTTTAAGCTTACATTTGCAGATTTAATCAATTTCTCAATCCTGCTCTCGAAGACAAGGTAGAGACCATGTAAAGCATTTGGAATTTGATATGCGGTCAGCTCTGAAGAAGAAAGCAAAGAGAAAGGAGAAGAAAGAGAAAAATCCAAAGAAGGAAAAAAAGGATGAAGCTCATTAGTATTATAACTCCTTTCATGGTGAGTTTAGAATATTCACAGTCAAAGATTTTTGATCGATTATAAATTTTAAAATGCATAAATAAAACATACGAGAATGAGCCATTGCAATAATAATAATAAAGTTCTGGCGAATAATGTTTGCATATTTTATACCAATTTTAACTCGGATTCAAAAAAAATAAACTCCGAGTTATTGTTCTACATTTTCTTTCAAACGTTCTATAATAAGGTATGTGGCAAATTAAATTCGTTTAAGTAAAAAGTTCACTTATATAAATTCAATTATTTTTCCTGTTTCAGTAAAAAAAACCTATGATTGGTCACTCCATTATGGGTAGGTTAAGATTTCTAATTTTATAACCCGAGGTTACTCCGTTACTCTGGTTACTTACTCCAAATTGATTTATAATAAAATAAATTAATAATTTATAATTTTAATTATAACGATAATAAAAGTTAAATGTGAGTGGTTAAAATGATAGTTACAGTATGTTAAAAGAAAATGTTAAAAATGACAATCGCGACGAAATCAAGAGACGATCGCAAATTTTTGTAATTTTTAGAACACCTACGGAATTTTTACGCAGACGTTTGACTTTAAACTGGAATATCTCGGTAGATAG